CTCTCAAATAAATAAATAAAATCTTTAAAAAAAATAATAATAAACGGGTGAATCTAGTTAATGTGACCGTTAAAGGCGGCCTTGAAGGGGGGAAAAAATGAGATACAGAGGCCTTGGACTCAACAGGACACGCTTGGTGGGAGCAGCCAACACCAGGTCTGGTGCTGAATTTCAAATCTTCCTATGGGGCCCGTTGATCCTGAGCACATTTTAAATCCCTCTCCTGCCCCCCAGACAGGACAAAAAACAACCATACAGTTTGAGGGTTTTGAGCTCCCAGGCTTTCCGAAAGTGACGGGCCAAGATAATCAACCCAATTTAGGGCACTCTTACAGGACGCACTGCGGAGTGCCTACACTGGCGACTTCCCTTGTTCCCTTGCATTTGTGACCTCTGGCTATGTGGAACTCGATTGAGGGCTAGCTTAATCATTCCAAGATCTCCTCCCCGTGGCAGCAGCTCGTGGGAAGCAACTGACGTCCCGTCCCCCAAACGCAAGGTTTTGAGGCTGCTGCAAATAAAAATCGCAATATATATTTACGTTTTACCCAACTATTGACTGCACAATTTTGTTACAAGACCACCCTTTAAAAGCTAGGTTATGGTTGGAAGAATGACGGCTTAGACCATGATGGAAATGACTGGAGGAACAGAACCATGTTAATCATGTGAAGGAAATCCAAGGAATTTCATTATCTTCTTTATATTCTAAGGCGCTTCCCTCACCTCACTTTGTATTTATAGACTGAAATAATGAAGGAAATAGTATCACTCCCTCCCCCCAACAGGAAAAATGATCAAACTTCCCGTAAAGTAGCTTTAGTTACTGAACATCTACTAGGTTAAGACTACAAATTTCGTTGTTGAACTAGAGAAGTTGGTTCCCAGGAGTCCCAGGAGGTATAACAGGGCATGATGTCATTGATGGTTGTACCTTGGGTTAGGGATATATAGGGCATGACTGAAGCGGAAGTTAATTAATTGTTTCTATCTCTGTGAAATGCTGTGCCTTGTGTTTATGATGTCTTAGTCATCTATGTTCTTGAAATGGGATTTGGGACTTTCTTGTTTGCTTCTGGACATAGAATTTGTTGGCTCTTTATTTGTGTGTCATTGATCCCTTTGAGAGTTTGACACAGCTGTGGACCTCTTCCTCCCGAATGGCTATCTGCACGTGTGCACAGATTTTGTCTATAATTCTAGAGGATTCACCTGCATAGACTCTAGATTAAGAATGGCTGTCTTTGGGAATGTATATATCTATGTTCATATAAATATTTATATATGAAAATCTGAGATCTTCCAGAGTTTTATTTCTTTTTTATTTTTTTTTAAAGATTTTTATTTATTTATTTATTTGACAGAGAGAGCGAGAGAGCACAAGCAGGGAGAACAGCAGAGGGAGAGGGAGAAACAGGCTCCCCGCCAAGCAGGGAGCCTGATGTGGGGCTCGATCCCAGGACCCTGAGATCATGACCTG